AAAGCATAATGACCCTGTTGTAAAAAATATGATACAAACATGTCATTAATGGTAGCCACATGTACCATGGTGCAACATCACATGATCAGCAGTATGACAAGGATTCCACATGATTGTGTATTGAAATTTATGCAACAGGACTTTTTGTACTTACTAGAAAATCCCTGTTGTTTATTCCATTCCGATTCGCACGTGTTCATTTCCCTAGAATAATGACGTCATATTTGGCGTGATTCAACCAATCGGCAATCAGAGAATAGCAAAGGCCTGTCGGTGCGGCCTGCAGAGCTAGAGAGAGAGAGCGCGAATAAGCTCGCAGCTGGTACGATCGCGCTAGCTGTCTCTAGCTAGCTCACGGCCGGCCGTGCGTGGAGGCGGAGCGGCATTCATGGCTTGAAGTGTCACTGTTGCATGCGCGCTGAGCTAGCTGAGCTGGCTAGCTGTCTGTGAAGTTTTTTCGAAATCGGAACGATCGCTTTTTTGCTTCTGGATTTTGACGACGGGTAAGAAGTTGACGGGTGAATGGTAGAGTTCTTGGACACTAGGAAATTACTGTAAAAGTATCACTTGCCCGAATCGGGCAAGTGATAATTTGATTTACTTGCCCGACGGCTCAATTTGGTTGCCCCGGGACGTCGGGCAAGCGGGTTTGTCGCGCCCTGCCCATGTAAACATTGCTAATGGTAATAGCCTCGTGATTTTACTCCAATCACAGTGTGGATTGGCAGAATGTCTGGCCGCTGGATAATGTTGGCAACTTTGCAAGTACAAGTACTTACTAAAAAAGATTAACCTTCATGTAATTAATCAGTTGAAAGGTCCGTGTCAGTGTCAGCATTTTGAAATCCACTGATTTGAAAGGAAAGAAATGCATGTATGTGCATGAGCATTGTTATTTTTCTCTTCAACTAAAGAACATTCACTAATGTACAGGTGTAGCTAAATTAAACAAAAAGAAAACAAGAAAACTAGGAAGAAAAAAAACCCAGTAGGTACAGTGTACATAGAAAAATGCTTTCTATCCTAGGAATATGGCACTGTGAGCAATGGTTTCAGATTCAGATTTAATAAAACTGTCAAAAGACGGACAGAGAAAGAGAAAGGAAGAGAGAAAAAGAAAGGAAGAGAGAGAGAGAGAGATACAGACAGACACACAGACAGAGCTATCCACATACTTAGCATTAACGTTTGGACTAGCGCTCTCCTTATAAAACGCATTACCGATTTCACCCCATTTCCTAATAGCGTTCCCCATATTAAACACACTAATGCCATTTGCAGACCTAAGCTTTCATTTCATCAGTAAAAACGTCAGGCTAGATTTTTCACCACGGTAATGAAATGTTAACCATCCTTGTCTTCTTTGGCTTGTAAGTGAAGAGTTTTGTGTCATAAAGTATGAACCTTCCCATTGCAGTTTATAAAACAGTTATTATTGTCTTTTGAGAAGGGCATTGACTCATAGTTAAAAAGTACTTTTATACAGAATTATTAATTTATTATCATCTTTTTCTTCTTAGGCTAGTGAGTGAAGAGGTCTGTGTATTAAAGTAGATTGTATGAACCTTCCTTTTGCAGATAATCATCAATCAACTATTGGCTTTTTTTTAAGAGTAGGAAGGGTATTAAATCATATTACTTTCTTACAGACTTATCCTCTTTTTTGTCTTCTTTGACTCATAAAATGAAGAGTTATGTGTATAAACTGAGTATAATCCTTCTCTTTGCAGATAACCTTTAGTCACATTGTAAATATTGTAATTTAAGAGTAAAAGGGGGCATTAACTGAGAATATGCATACTTTATATGAATATATTAATGAGACTCTGACCCAGCTCCCGATGACCTGGTAAAAATGGTGAAGTCATTTCAAATTCACTTTAGTAATAGTCTGATTTTCAGACCCTTGTATCGGATGGTCGTACATTTTGTGCTGCGCAAAGATTCAAGCAGTTTAATTTTGGCCATTACAAGAAGTGTGTTATTGATGTAGACAAATGCTCATGTATCCTTTTCAGCTTATTTTCTGTACGTTATTACCAAAGAAAAAAAAGAAGTCAGACAGTCAGTCAATAGTGTCTAAAAGTGAAGTCTAGAAAGTAAACAGGTTTCCTTGTATAATTTGAATAATAGGACACTGCTAACATTTACATTTCACAGATCTTAGGACATACGTGCCACATGTGTAGAGTATAGACATGTGCATTTTTCTGCACCATCTTTATGGCAAATTATTTTTGTCAAGACATAATTTATTGATGCAGCTGCCACTTTCCTCAAAATGAACTCAATAACTATGAAATGCAATCCACATAAATGATATAAGTTGTGTACACTGTACATACATATCTTGTTTGCTCAAATTTAAGAACCAGGATGCTGTCAGCTTACAGTATTTGCCGGCGATAAGGCCGCAGCGCCGCACCCCCGATTTTGACATAAAAAAAAAAAAAAAAAAACTTTTGTCAAAGACGGGATTTGAACTCTTGCGTACAAATGTTGATGCGACTAAAATCACCGCCTTAGACCGCTCGGCCATCCCACACTAATGCTATCATCTGCAGTTTTCTTGGATGTATACATTGCGCCTCTCTCTTGTGTATTGCGCCATAGCTTAGCTCGCGCGATCGCTAGAAATGTCAATCACCTTTCATTGTTGTCCCATTTATACAAATTCGTGCTGTGTTTCATGGTTTTGACTTGCATTTAAAATTTTTTTTGTTACTCTTTCTCCGCAAAGGCCGCACCCCGACTTTTTGATATTTTCTCTTCCAAAAATACTGCGGCCTTTACGCCGGCAAATACGGTATGTGCTTAACAAAGATTTAAACTGGCCTCCAGGTCTCAAATGTTCAATGGGTAACGAATATTGAGTAAACATTGCATAGTATAAATTGTTTTTCATCTGATCAATCTCATACATTAAAATGATGGTAGATCTAGTTACAGGTGCTGTATCTTGTTATAGTGCTAATGAAACATCTGTTGCTTCATGATGATGAGTCTCTACTGCTTTCACACACACACTACGATTATCAATTCTGATCAATTCTGATACATTCAGTTTACACTAAAAAGATCACAGTAGGCAAAGCGCTTAGAGACATTTGTATTAAGCGCTATATACAAATTAAATATTATTATTATTATTATTTTCAAAAGGACACCTTTCTCCAGCACACTTTCCTCCAGCCTTTTCCTTTCAAGAGTCTCCCGATGTTTGACCTTGTAGACCTTTAACCAATCCACAAGATCAGGGATTGAGGAGGGGGTAAACATGACCCCCTCAGTGAAGACTAGAGCCTTGAAAAAGCCCAGTCGAAATACAGATCCACTCATACTGTTTTCACACTGGCAATATTTTGCTTAACCCCGTACTATAGGTGGGGTTAAGGGGGGGTCTTAGCCCCACCTATAGTACGGGGTTAAGCCTATTCCACTTTCTGTTCAGACTGGTTTTTACCAAAGTGGGCTAAAGTTGGCTAACCCCACCTATAGTACGGGGTTAACTAACCCTGCAAAATAGCAGGGCTAACTCCGCAATTGTGGTGCTAACTCTTGCTAACCCCGCTATTGCGGTGCTAAGCAAATGAATGAGAACAGAAACGAAAAATAGTCCGATACTACGCAATGGAGCGTATCGCAGCTGGCCAGATGCGAAGTATGTCTAATCATAACATACACGATATCCGGGGTTAACGAAATGCAGTGAGAACAGCAGGAATTTTCTTATTCCGGAATAGGCGCTAGTACGGGACTAAAAACAGCGAGTGTGAAAAGCCAAAAAAATAGTCCGGGGTTAAGGATAGTACGGGGCTAAGCAAAGTACGGGGTTAAGCAAAACCAGTGTGAAAAGAGTATCAGTGAAGACTAGAGCCTTGAAAAAGCCAAGTCGAAATACAGAAATCTGATGCACTCAGTCCCTGCCATGCTAAAGGCTTGTGGCCAAACACCGCATCATATTCATATATGTTTTCATGAAAGTCAAGCCAATGTGTGATGAAAATGAATGAAGAGTAATCTAACACATCAAGAACAACATATTCAAAGAAGCCAACCTCGGAACACGGAGTTCATCTTCCTACTAAGATTCCACGAGAAATCATATCTTTTCTCCAAATTCATCATTCGGCAATGCAACCCGCATTCAAAATCAAGTACCTCCACTTACCTTGATTTGTTCTCAATTTACTCAATGTAAAACAATAGATTGTTTGTATAGAGCTTAAACAAAAATAAACAAGAAATATCCTCAACAGTTGTTATTCTAGTGATTGTTGGTATAGTAAAAGCCTTTAAAACTCTTTCTTCTTTTCAATATTATTGCCTCCCCACCATCCCCTTTCCAAAGGGATATCCTACCATGTGGAAATTCATATACAACTAGTGGACACTGCAGGTACATGTAATCTTAGATGAACAAAGGTTTCCCTCATTTACCATTAAAAATAAAATTACCAGCAAATAAGGACAATACATGTACAGGGTATCACAAGAGTACATGGCATCTCTCAGAGGTGCCACTTCTTCTTGACTTTTAATGCATTCACTAGTTAGAAATTTTGTGTAAAACAATTTCAGAGGATGTTCATGGAAATTTCAATAATCCCAGATTTTAAAACCCTTTTTTTCTGAGAGAAAGACAGTGAGATATCCCCTACCCCCGAAGAGGTAATATGTAGTTTAATGATGTTTGGAACCGTGTGAACGCTTTTATGATGCAAGAATAAAGTACTTTCTGTGAATGTGTACTTTTACTACTTGATAAAGCCTAACAATTTATTGAGAGCAATTTTATACCAGGTACTTGCTTCTTTTGCAAAAGGGGTCATATTTTGTGGAAATATATTTGTTGCAAGTAAGCAAAACAGGGGATTTTTTTTTCTGTGCTAACTATCTTGAGCTTCACGTTTGAATCTGAAGTGACACCGCCGGACAAACTCTATCCCTGTTCAAGGGTTGACTGTGGGGGCGACATTTATCAAGCTTTTGAGTCTTACCTCCTTGAAGTCTTTCTGCTCCTCCATTCTCTCCGGGAACTACAGAAACAAACAAATACACCAACAATGATTGTTGTTAGGGGTGATAGTGAGCACCAAAAAAAAAGTTTTTTTTTCTTCTTCAACCATAACCCCCTTGAGAAAAAAAAAAAGAGAAGAGGATTCGGGAGAGAAAAAAATGGCATCAACAACGTTCCCCCCTTTTGAGTAAGAACAGAATTAAATTGAGTAATTGTCAGGCCTGATCACAAAGTCATTGATGCCTAAATTAACATGGAATTGTTAAAAAATACATATACAGAGTATTTAAGAAAAAATGTAAAGATCTACATATGCTGATATGAAAGATGCTAATTAATGTTGATCAATACCTACATGTAGATGGACTTTAATTTGTATTCTTTTTTTACATGATAGATGTATCTAGTAAATTATTGCACAGTACAAGTTGTACAACTACATGTACATTTATGTAAAATTCAAGTAGCCACTTCATTAAAAAGATCTATGCATGTATAAAAACAAACAGTTTGACAATGAATAATGATCACGAGGAAGATATTTTGAAGGTTCTTGAACTTACTGTGATTTTCTGTTTCAGTCTCAGCTTGCTTTCCATCATCTGTAGAGAGAGAGAGAGAGAGAGAGAGAGAGAGAGAGTGAGTGAGAGAGAGGGAGAGAGAGAGAGAGAGGAGGAGGAGGAGGGGAAGGAGACGAAGAAGAAGAGGAGGAGGAGGAGGAGGAGGAGGAGGAGGAGGAGGAGGAGGAGGAGGAGAAGGAGAAGGAGAAGGAGAAGGAGAAGGAGAAGGAGAAGGAGAAGGAGAAGGAGAAGAAGAAGAAGAAGAAGAAGAAGAAGAAGAAGAAGAAGAAGAAAAAAAAGAAGTTATTTAAACATATATCCTGGATGGTTAACATGGTTTACATAATTGCAATTAACATTCTATGAGTGAATAAGACCGAATTTAACCCTTTGCATCTGGGAACTGGGTGCTCCCTGTATCTGAACCAATAGGGATTAGACAAACCAGTAGTCGATGAATTAAAACTACATTGTACATTAACAAAAAAACAAGAATGAAACTGAAACTTTCCACCAGCTGATAATGGCATGTCATAACCACAAGAATGACAGATTAGAATAGACTCATCACATTAAATTAAAAACAAAAGCGTTGACACTTGGCAGGAAGTTTGTGTACAGCCTGAATATTTTGTTTACTTCCTTGTTGTTATAGGGATAATGTTAACAAAAGAGAAAGAAAGAAAACATTCAATTTGAAACAGAACACAGCTATGTTCAAGTCATGTCTTGATATGTATTGTAAATCTTGTATATATGATTGATTCACGGGGAAATCAATAATGAGTTGTGTACACGTCCATCAAAATGTCTTTTAAATCCACAAAGCACAATACTTTATGAAATCAGAGTTTTCTTACAACATTACGACAAACAAAGAGTTGCAAATACCAATTTGTTTATTTGACAGACCAATGGATAAGATTTCCATAACCATGCATAATACACATGTGCATGAACAGTCACAAGGAATACAAAATGACATACTGTACAATGTTGTACATGTGTAGTCATACTGAAGCATTGTACAGTATGTACCAACAAGTCTAATTTTATCTTATACATATATGTCATGTCATTTTATGTACTGTACATGAACCTCAACCTCAATTTCCTGTCTCTGATTAACAACATGTTTGTATTAGGTTAAAAACACAGTTCTTTCTTTGTTACATGTACATGTATATACAGTTCTTGCCTTTGCTGTACTTTTCATATTGATAATGATAAAGAGCACTCTAGTGGAGCATACACTGTACTTCTTGTCTTTTCTAAAAGATTACTTCTTAAAATAATACAGATAAAGATAAAGAGAAGAGAAGAGAAGAAGAAGAAGAAATAGGAGAAGATGAAATAGGTGGAGAGAAGAGCAAGGAGAAGAAGAAAAAGAAGAAATGGGCGTAGATGGAGGAGAAGTAGTTCAACAAGAATAAATCAAAAGAAAAAAAAAGGGGAAGAAGAAGAAGAATAAGGAGGAGAAAAGAAATAATAGAAGAAAAAGAGGAAAAAGAAAGAGAAGAATATAGGAAGAATGGTAAAGAGGAGAAGAGTGGAAAGAAGAGAAGAAGGAAGACGAGCAAGAGGAGGAGAATGGCAATAACATACTGGGGAGAGAGAGCTTCCTATACATCGTGTATGTTTGAAACTTCACACATCGCTTTATCTATACCATTAACCATTACACCCGCCTTACATACACATTGATGTTGATAACAGCAATTATTCAAATCAAATATTAAAACTATAAAAAATACCCATATTGAAATACCGTCTCTCAATCTTGTCTTTATAACACTACACTGCATCCGTGCTTTTCACCCGTTAGTCACTCACATGGATGCCTTAAAGCCTTTCAGAAAATTTCTCCTGCCCTTTCGAAAACTCTTTTAAGGCAACGGTGTTAAGGAATGACATTCTGTATTGCCATGGAAACGGACGACTGTCTCCTTTCAGTCGATAATTTCACATCAGCACTGTAGACTATATTTTTTTCTTTTTTTCAATGCTTTCATAATCTTTTCCTTTTTATGTAATTTCTTTTGTCCTTTGATGTGTTTCCCGCCTTATAGAAAAACATCTGCACGAACTTCTATCCTGGTAATCCTGATGGGGTCGAGGATAATCTTTCAAATATATCTTTTGTTAATTATCAAGTATAAGGTCAATAAAATATAAAAAGAGAATTACACATAACTTGTGTGATTTGGACATGAAGGCTATGTAGAGTGTACCATTCATATTCACATCACCTCGTGTTTAAATGAGCAGTTTGCTACTGAAGGAGTCAATAAATTTTGCTGATATATGTACACTGTACCAGTATGCAATGCAGAAAGTGTTTTAAAAAAAAAAATTTCTTCTGTTTTTATTGTTATTTCTGAAAAATTAACAGAGTAAAAGCAACAATATAATCAATGCAGAAAGTGTTATTGAGTATGTAACAAGTATGTACATGAGTATATTTTGTGTTGTCTCAGACTCCAAATGCTGCAACCCCCCCGCCCCACTTTTTTTTCTTTTTCCAACTGATCATTTATAATTTTTAATACCTATTTTATATTAAAGGAAGAATAGTACATTTTATCAAAATCAGTTCAGCTTTCTTGGATGTCAAATAATACAAACAATCTAGCAGAATGATCAACAAATAATATCTGATTTTAATTCATCTGAATTTCTAATGACGTCGGGAATCATCCCTGTCAACGGATGCTTCGAGTAACACCTACACATCCGTACATAAACAAACAATCGTATTACAGGCTCATCAAATGAATGACAGTTTAATATGTAGTCAATCCCTACGGAACAGAAGAGCAATATTTATGGATTGTACAGGCAGTGAGCACTACCCCCATTTAGACAACCCAAATTTATATGGCTATACGAAAACTGAATTTAGTTCTACGATATAAATAATTTTGTTCTAATTAATCTAAATATTGTATAATGAAGTGTCTATAAAACCAAACACCATATTGTGAAACACATGTCTAATAGCTTCGTTTCAAACAAATACTTGATAAAGTATAGCGCTTGAAGAGTTCGGTGGAAAGCGCTTTATAAGCACCGTTTTATCACTATCATTGAAGAAATAGAGTCCAGTCTTATTGTACAAAAAACCTCATAGCTGGGCAGGGGTTAACGTGAGCAAAGATATCTCTTTGCCGTGAGCTAGCACTGGTGATTGGCCAGCTGTCACGTCAGCTGACCACTTCAAAACTAGTTTCTTCACAAGTTTTTTTATAAAATGATGTTGTTATCCAGTGTGTACGCCCCTTTCTCTATCAAATGACGCTTTATACGATGTTTCTTTGTATGCGTCAGCTGACCACTTCAAAACTAGTTTCTTCACGTTTTTTTATAAAATGATGTTGTTATCCAGTGTGTACGCCCTTTTCCCTCTACGATGACGCCTTATATGACATTTCTTTGTATGCGTTTCGCAAACATTACTTCCGGTCTGAACGGCCCATGAGCGTAAGACAGATTTTGATTCCTACTCACATAATGGTGACATGAGGCACTTTGATTGGAAACCCAGTGACCACGCGAATATTGGAATCCAAATTACAATTTGTCAGCTATTATTGCCTCTAACAGAGGGGAAGGGAACTTCCTCTTCGGTTTCTTTGCGGTATATTTGTAATCAGTACAGAGTGCATGCATGTACCTTTTTTTATTTTCTTGGGGGGAGGGGGGTTCTATTTTCTGCCATTTTCTCACTCTCTGGTCAATATACATTTATCTCCCGTGATTGACCATAACCTTTGAGAGAGTGTCGGGGCCTGAAAATTTGTGTTTGGTTGTGCTATTTTCCAAATCAAAAAGAGGAGATGAAAAGAAAAAAGAACTACCCCCTCTCCAAAAAACAACGACAACAACAACAAACAAGCAAGCTAAAACAAATGTAATAAAAACAACATGATTTGAGAACCATGAACATGTACATGTAGTTTCATGAGCTAATTTTTAGTCAATATTAGACAAAAGGAACAATGCTATCACTTCCAATGGTACATAAAATGCAACTGATGTTACAGCTCTATTTGAATGACAGGAATTGTTTTCCTATTGGGGGAAGGGCCTTTTTCTTAAAGAGTCTTGGGAAACAAAGTGCCCCTTTAATAGACACTATTCTTTTCATTGTTAAGTTTCATCTCATCCAGCACAATGATGAAATAGGAAGATAGTGACATTGTGGGCCCTGTCTTATAGACAGTTGCGATAAATCAAAACAGTTGCGATTAATCACAATGTATTACTACCTGTTATGAACTGTACATTATGTACATAAATACATGTACATGTACATAATTTATGAGAGAAGGGAGACTGTAAAATCGCAATTGATTCAGATCAATTGCAACTCTATATGACGGGCCCTGCTATGCTACATGTACTGTATATGACCTGGATATAACCTGTACATGACCTAGATTTTCATTCGTTCTTAATTGCAATAGGTAGGAGTAGATCATTTTGTATGTTTCGAGCTAAAAGGGCGTTACCCTTATTTTTTTTCTTCAAAGAGTTGTATAAACATGTAATGCTCATCTGGCGTTAAATAGCCTATTTCCAAACATTAGTCTTACCTCCAGACTTCCTCTTCTTCCTCCACTTCCACGGTCTGAATAGCTTCGATAACGACATCTTCTTGGACTTCTTGTCGGCGGGCGACGTCGTCACGGTGATCTTTTCGCTGGTCTTCCCTTCCTCATCCTTGTTAGTTTCTGTACTGTACATGATCTGACTGTCATCACAAGCTGCTAAAAGAGGTAACCGTTCCAACAAAAGAGGAAGAAGAGACAAGAGAAAATTAGTTGAGAATGACGAAAGCAGTATATTGATAAGATTGTACAATCATTGAGCAAATTCATAGATGAGAGGAATTTAAAACTGTATGGAATTAAATTTGGTATTTCTGCATGGATTTGAATTCAGATTATGTGTCAATACCGGTATTTGGAAATTTGTTAAAGCTATAATATAAGATTTTGCCATCATTTCAGTATCTAAACAGACATTTACAAGATTACCATGGCTGTAGATTGTATTCAACAAATTAAACAAACATTAAATTTGAAATACATCTATAGGAATATTGCCTCAATTTCACTGTCCATGCATGCATGCAAATTACTGAATTTACGTCATGATTACATTAACTTTTCATAATGAATTTACTACAGAGAATAACATTGTACAGAACAACAATGCATTGTATGCTGGCCATGTATTCTTAAAACACAATTCCTAAATTAATAAGCTTTAGTACGACAAGAGTAGAATACATTGAATACAATTTTAATACATGAGAGTGATCTGTTAACAATGTTTTTTCACCAAGCAAAGGGTATGCATTTGCAAAGACTTTCAATAAAAGCAACCCGATGTAATTTCAATAGCTTTGTTCTGCACCTACTGTACTGAAATGTATAAGGATATCCCAGTAAATGCAGCCTCGTGGTTTCTATACAAAAACAAGAGGGTACTCTTTTTTAACTCTATTTTACTTTCTAAGCTAAGTTTGTCTCATCTTAATACTTCAATACTCAATACTAAAAAATGTACATAAATTTGCTTTGAATACACTAAGATTGCTTAAATGCTTTTGATTCCCAAATATTTGCAACTATTTCAAGACAAAACATGCATTGCTTTGCAAGAGTTTGGCAAGCACTGTGCAAAGAGTGGAAAGAAAGAGTAGCAAAATTAGTAGTTCAATACACACCAGTGGATAAAAGTGAAGACAAAATGTGTTACTGGTAATTAGTTTGAAATGTAAAACAGGAAATTAATAGCATACAACTAGAGAATTGGTACAGGTTAACGGCCTATACCACACACACACACACACACACACACACACACACGCACACACAAAAACAAAAAAAAAACCCAACCCCAAAACCTTCTCCCAACCCTTTCACTGTAACATCTCACTATCATAGAAATATCCTTGTACATGTATCCGTAGGCCTTTGCCACAAGAAGAGGAAGAAGAACAAAAATATAGTGGAAGAAGAAGAAGAAGAAGAAGGGGAAAAAAGGAGATTTTTGAAATAAAGTAGAAGTACAGGTAGAAGAAGGAGGAGGAAGAGGACGAAAACAAATTAACAGGAAGTCCCATCCTTACTTTAAAAATATAATCTTAAGACGGCTTTTAACTTCGATAAAAGCACACTTTGAGTTGAAGATTCTGTGAGAAAAAGCAATGTCTCAGCAGCACATTTGTACTGGTCTAATTAACCTCTAATGAATAGAGTGGCAATGCAGATTTATGGGTCAACTTTTTACCAGGTCAAACCGAGAACAATAGTTGCATTTACACTGCACACAAACATCTTTTTTTTTCCTCACAATCACGACAAAAGATCCACCTCTGGAGAGTGTTTTTTTTTAATTAATGCCTGCTGAAGTTTCAACGATTTGGTGCAGTGTAAATGCAAACTTTGGTAAGATTTCAATTTTTGCTCACGTGACTCCCCTCGATTCCATGCTAATGCGTGCTAATGCGTGCTAATGCATGCAGGGCACCGATGATGGGAGCATACGCACCTCTCACTCCAAAATTGATTATGAGCAAACTTTGACTACCGGTATTTTTATGGGTTCTTCCAGACTAGTGTAAATGGCAGTCCAAAAAAAATGTATGATTTTTCAAAATGGTGCTTTTGATGTGTACATTGTAAATGTGCCTAATGTTTACTTGCTCGTCTCCGGCTGCAGACACAGACTCTCTGTTGATACTTAACTAAATTATTCATACGCTTACCAAGGATTGTAAGAAGAAGAAGAAAAAAAGGAGGAGGAGAAGGAGAAGGAGAAGGGGAAGGAGAAGGGGAAGGGGAAGGAGAAGGGGAAAGAGAAGGAGAAGGGAAAGGGGAAGGGGAAGGAGAAGGGGAAGAAGAAGAAGGTGAAGAAGAAGAAGAAGACAGAAACAAACAAACAAACAAAAGACAAGATTAAGTGGGGACCCTGTGACCTACATGTAGATGTACATGTATACAATCAGCTTCAAATGTCCTAAACAAGGGATCTGCTTGCAAAAGCATCCAGGATATCACCTTCCAAAAAGAAAACCTTAATCCCTAATTGGATTATTGGTACACTAACATGCATGATCAGTAATCCAATTAAGGAAAAATGAACAGACTTGACTACGGGGGCAGATGAAGTCTCAAAAAGAAACTACATGTACAGTATGTCTTGGCAATTGGCATGCAAAGAATATGAACATACAGTATGTATCACTGCAGAGTTTGACACTATCAGGCCCCCCCCCAGTAAATCGTTGGCACCCTAAATCTAGGTCCATGTCCCTACCCCCTACCCCCCCCCCAATTATACAGTTCAATCTAGCTCCCATTTTCCAAAAAACGTGTGTGGAAACTTGACTTATGCATGCATATATATTGTTGAATTCTATATAAAATAATTTGTGCATGCCACATGATAATAACATTCAATTTAATTATTATAATTAACATCATCGTCGTTTGCTCTTACATATATCATAAATTGCAAATTTGATGATTTTTTCCTGCCAAATGATGTGCACTAAATATAAATATTACAAAATTCTACTCACATGACAAAAAATGAAGTAATCCTTTAAAAAGTGGTAATAAAAGTCACTGATAATATAATCCAAGATGATCAAACGATTTACAATTATCTCTTGTGAGATTAAGTGTATTTCCAAGCGAGAAGCTTAATCGAAAAACGACCTTGTTGTTTTAAAGGTGGCGGTCAAATATACTGCCGAAGTTGACGGAAACAAAAACACAGTGATTTAAAACCAACTCTCCTGGATTTGTACAAATGCTCTGCAATTAGTGCGAGAGGAAACGCGCCTGTGACGACGACGGAGAAAAATTCTAAGCCACATTGTCTGAACGCAGATCTGAAAGTGAGATCTCTCCTGAAAGTGTTGGAAAGCAGGAGATGTGAAAATGGGTTTTAATCTCTGTATGGTAATCTAGTGTTCATCATTAAGGTATCATAGATTGTGTATTGATAGCGCTGTGTGTGGATGCTTTGCTCCGAGTGTGTGTATCTATAGTGGAGTGTATCGAGGCAAGGTATCTGTAAGCCTGCAGGGGTAATTAATGAGAATATCCCACGGAACTTCCTTCTTGCCCGTTGATTAAGAAGATTGGCTGCCCAGGGGACAGAGAGGGAGCTATCCATGTTGGAGGTTTACCTCAAAATGTACTTGGTATGTCTTGGGGATGAAAGGCCTGACGTATGATAAAGGTGGGGTAACCTGGTTTAAAAGGAAATCTTCCTTAATTTCAATTTGGGCTTTATACACCCAAACTCTGTCCTGATAAAAATATTCATTTCCATTTTCTAAGTTATTAATTAAGAATACATTTGTTTATTTTGTTTTATACAAAATTACAGGGATGCTTGAAAAAAGAAAGAAAGAAAAAAAAAAAGGAACTATAAGTTGCAGGTGAATGTACAATTTACAAGTAGATATTTAATTTAGAAAAAAAAAGGAATAAAAGAGATCATCGCAGAGTTGCCACTTTAACCAATCAGTTAAAACATCAACAATTCCTAAACTTTTTCATTAGATCTTCTTCGAACTTTCACTGAACTGTTTACAGTATCTCATTTATATCCTATTATTCAACAATTTTAATAATATAAGGGTGACCTTACACTTTAAGAGTATTTTCAAAGGCACAAACAGGCCACTATGTTGCAACGTGTACCTTTTGCTTTCTGGCACTTTTATTATTTTAGAGCAAGAATAAAAGTCATAATTTCTAAACTGAGTTTCCCTGCACCCACTACTAAAAATTTATTATTTCAACTTGCACTGACCCAGTCACTCGACAAAACCTGTTTGGAAACTAAATGAGACTTTAATTGTAAATCTGTCATAACAAAGGGCGTTGATATAGTGCTGTCGACACTTTCAGAAAGGGGCATTATTTACTACAAAAATAGAGGTCTACATGCAGGGTGCATTCGCACTTGCAGATGTGCTTGCCCGCAAAGTCGTGATTAGCATACATAGGCGGCACCAAAAGCAGTAAATCTAGACAGGAGAATGTTTTGACAGTGATTCTTCCACGGCTTGGAGCATTCCACGCCTTCTCGCCCGCCCGCCCGAACAGGCGACAATTTGAGGTCCTCTAATCACATAATGGGGGCACAATGATCGGCCGGTGAATCAATACACTGTTCGCCTCTGATTTTGTCGCATGCTCAAGATAGCTTCAAAAACACAAATGCGCTTTCCACATGTACAGTCTTGTCTCTTAAACCATCAACCATCAACGCTGTAGCCAATGAGTTGTTGATATATATGGGTATTTTCTTTTTTTACCCAACATAAATGAAAAGTTAAACTATTGTATTGGCTTATTCTGCTAGACGGCTACTGTATACTTCTGACCAAAACAATCATTTCTTCTCTTTATTTACAATGTACCTTATTTCCCATGCTAATCTGATGTGTTACATGTAAATCAAGAAACAAATTCTCATCAAGTATTCTTCTGCTGTTTTACATGGAAGTCTGGAGAAATATTCCTTTTTTTGGAGAACATTTCATTTTTTTTTCTTCTTTTTTTTTTTTATTTTATTTATTTATCTATTTATTTATTTATTTATTTATTATTTATTCAATTTTTTAAGTTTTAATTTTTTTTTTTTTTTTTTTTTTTTTGGGGGGGGGGGGGGGGAGTATGTCTGCAACTACAGTAACAAAATCAACGCCCCACTCTCTTTGGATAGGGGGTTCTCT